ATTTGAATATAAATTAAAATGTTGAAATCAAATCTGATATTGTTTTACCTTTTATTTGGTGTGTGGAAGGTGTGCGGAAGAGGGGGTAGTCTTATATGGCGAGTATATAACAAACTCTGTATTTTGAGTGGAAATGTTAGGGGGTCGTCTTATACGCCCAGTCGTCTTATACGCTGGCAAATACGGTACAAGTAAGGAAAGGAGGAAAAGTAGAAGAACCTTGAGGTATTGGATTAGCATCTGAGGTATCAGTACAGATGCCTGTCGACTAGGATGGGGTTATGTCCAGAAAAGCCCCGTCCTAAGTTGAAAATAACGTAGGTTGAAAATGCATTTAATACACCTCATCTACCAAACATCAAAGCCTGGTTTAGCCTAACGTACCTTAAATGTGCCCAGAACACACTTCCTAAAAAACACTGGCAGCACAGTAAACTAGAGTATCACTGTTCACCCCGTGTCTTGTGGCCAGCTGGGAGCTGATGCTCGATGCTGCTGCCCAGCACCATAGCACTAGCCCAGGCAAAGATCAAAATCCAAACTACAGTTTCTGCTGAGTCGTATTGCTTTGCACCGCTGTAGAGTCAAACAATCATAAAGTGGAGCGATTGTAAGTCAGGGACCATCTGTGGATGGGAGGGAGGGATGGAGGGTGAATGGGCGGGCAGGTGGATGGACAGACAGACGGATGTGTAGCACATTAATGGCCATTTGTATGTCTTCTTTGGAGAAATGTCTATTCAAGTCTGTTGCCTATTTTTGAATTGGGTTGTTTGTTCTTGTTGAATTCGTTTGCTGTATGTTCTGGATATTCATCCCTCAGCAGGTACAATTTGCAAATATTTTTCCCGTTCTCTAGGTTGTCTTTTTACTGTATTGATAGTGTCTTTTGATGCATCAAGTTTTTTAAATTTTATGAAGTCCAGTATGTCTATTTTTTCTTTTTGTTTTCTGTGCTTTTGGTGTCATATCAAGAAATCATTGCCAAGCCTAATGTCATGAAGCTCTTGTCCTGTGTTTTTTTCTAGTTTTATTGGTTTAGGTCTTATGTTTAGGTTCTTGATCCATTTGAGTGAATTTTTGTATGTGTGTCAGGTACGGCTCCAGCTCCATCCTTGTGCACATGGGCGTGCAGCCATCCCAGCACCATTGGTTGTAAAGACTGTCCTTTCCCCATTGAGTGCTCTTGGCACCCTTGTCGGAAATCATCTGACCATATATGAGAGGGTTTATTTCTGGGCTCTGTTTTCTCTGCCATGGGTCTGTATGTCTGTCTTCATTCCAGGACCACCCTGTTTTGATTCCTATAGATTTGTAGTAAGTTTTGAAATCAGGAAACGTGAGCACTCCAGCTTTGGTCTTCTTTTTAGGATTATGGTGGCTGTTCAGGGTCCCTTGAGAATCCATGTAAATTTTAGGATGGGTTTTTCTATTTCTGCAAAAACCATCATTGGGATTTTGATAGGGATTATATTAAAGGATCTGAATTTTAACTCGGGAATAAGACTCATTTATAGCCTCCCAACATGCATTGCAAGAGTGCTGCTTACACTGCTTACTGGAAACTGTTCACTTAGACAGTTGTTATTTTGAGGACTAAGCCTGTTAAAGCCAGATTTCCTTAGACTTAATCATCTCTCACCTGGTGGTGTGTGTCTGAGCAACGCCTGAAATCTCACCTTCGGTCTTTCTTTGGGGTTAGGTACATACCACGTTCATGGGTTCAGGAAGGTGCCACCATCTTGGCAGGGAAGGGGGCTGGAAGGCGCTTTGCAGGGAAGGAGAAAATGCACTGATGCTGGAGTGCTGGCTGCACAGCCGCGCCCTGTGGGTCTGCCTGTTGGTCCTGCTTGGAATCAGTCTGAGGGTGTCAGTGCTTTGGGAGGCAACGGCTCCAGCTCCTCCCGAAGTCGTTCTCGTTGGTCTCAGGGTTAGCGCTCAGTAAACTGCTGTGGCTTTCCTGTGTGCTCTTCGACTCACGGTAACTTTTCTCTTTCAGAATTTGGTGTTCATCTGGCAGAGCTGACCGTGGACCCCCAGGGAGCGTTGGCAATTCGTCAGGTAAGCCTAGACCAGCGGTTCTCAACCTTCCTAATGCCGCAACCCCTTAATACAGTTCCTCATGTTGTGGGGACCCCCAACCATAAAATGATTTTCGTTGCTACTCTATAACTGTAATTTTGCTACTGTTATGAATCGTAATGTAAATATCTTTTTGTTTTCCGATGGTCTTAG